TAAGAGAATGGATTAATTGATACCAGTGTAAATGTAAAAAATTTACACAAAATGTTATACCGTTGATTTGGTCAAAATTAACAGATAATGTTAATTAAAGAAAGATAAATATAAATTAGTTATTGGAAATTATTGGAAGACAGCTGTAATTAATTTCATCTATTAAATTAGACCAAATCAACGGGATAAGATTTGGTGTAAATTTTTTACACTTACACTAGTGACAATTAATTCATTCTCATATGATAAAGTCGATCAATTTATATTTATTAAAAATTAGTTATAGTAGTTCTATATAACTAACAAATAAACTACAACTTATAATTTTATCGTCTAATGACTTACAATTCATAGAAATTATAAATTAATTATAATAATTTTATAATAACTAATGAATAGGTGAGATCATCAATTGATTGTAGTAATTAGAATTAATAATAACTTAAAACTTATAATATTCAACAAATTGATTATACTAATTAGAAATTAGGAACAATAATACTATAACAACTAACAAATATTCAACTATATTAATCTGATTGTGGGTTTGACTTTTGTTATAATATCAAATTTAAATTTCAAAACAAATAATATATTATTAATTATTATTCTTAATTTTAAATAAGTATAATCAATTTATAGAATTATAATTATTATATGAGAAAGTTATAAATTATGATTTGTTCATTAATTATTACACAATTATTGTTATTAATTTTTATTGTAATAAATTTCTAGAATTATAGTTATTATATAATAAAATTACAGATATTATGATTCATAAAATTTTTTCTTATAATTAAGAATCTCACTTTAATAAAATAATGTGGGTCTAGGTTTGTTATTCCTCGGCTTAAACAGGGTGCAATAGACTTGAGTTCCATAATAATTTGGCCCAACAATAGAAAATTGGGTTAGGATTAATTTATATTACGAAATTTAAAATTTTAAAAATTCATGCAAAATAAATCTAAATTTCAAATGCATAAGAATAAAATGGAAAACTTATTTCTGATAGATTTTTTCATCAGAAATATATATTAAATAAAAATTTATTTTATATTTTATTTTTCCAATAAAAATTTTTCATTGGAAATATGTATTAAGTAAAATTTTATTTTATATTTTATTTTCTAACAAAAATATTCTGTTGAAAATAATATTAATTTAATTTTTTTGTTTCACCGATGGCTTATTCCTTAGGAAACATTTACAATATTTTGAAAAATTATAATTTTTGAATTTCTAACAGAAATTTTCAGTCAAAAATATTAATTTTAAACATCTAAAGAGTTTTAGCTTTTCCAATAGACATTTTCTATTGGAAATATTCATTGTAAATATTAAAGAAAAATTGAACTTTCCCAACGGATTTTTTAACGAAAATTTTTATAGAAAATATTAATTTTAAATATTTAAAAAGAGTTTAACGTTTCAAACAAATTTTTTGACAAAAATTTCTGTCAGAAATATTAATTTTAAATATTTACAAAATTTTAACTTTTTTGACAAAAATTTTCTGTCAGAATTATTAATTTTAAATATTTAAAAAAATTTTAACTTTTTCGGTGGATTTTTTGATAGAAATATTACTGTTAAATATTTAAAATATTTTTGCTTTTCCAATGGACATTTTTATCGGAAATTGATGTTGAAAATATTAATTTCAAATATTTAAAAAATTTTATCTTTTTTGACAGACATTTTTTGTCAAAAGTTTCTGTTGAAAGTTATTTAAGATCAAAAAATTTTTGATATTCATTTTTTAACGGATTGCTCCATAAAAAAATCTGATGGAAACATTTTTTCCTTCAAATTTCCTTCTTTTCCAATGGGTTATCCATTAAAAACATTTTCTAACGGACTATTCGGTGGAAAAATTGTCGAAAATCCATCGTTTCTTTCGTCTGCCGACAACTTTTCATCAAAAATTGAATACTCTCTTATAATGACATGTCACATAAACTCTTTCATTTTATAGACAAACTTCAATTTTGGGCTTAGGAAAAATTGAGATGTTTGGGATTTAAGGACTTTCAAACTACAATTGTCGTCACCAATCATCTCATGGATTTCAAGAAGACTGGGGAGACTTTACGAAGTAAGGGGAGTTCAGAACCAAGCAAGGGAAAGTTTGCAAAGGGCAACAAGTAGAATAAGGGGTAAAAAGCACATTTGGTAAGAGATGAATTCGGAACTCTATTTCTTGTAAACAAAGAGAACAAAATGGTGTTACACGTGCGGTGGTGACTATCGCATGTGAGATTATTCAACGCACGTGAGATTATCCAAAGCATGGCAAGATCACGGTGATAATAACTGAATTTGACAGTGAGTCCGAGGATGCCAGTATGCCTCAAGGGAATCTTTTACAGCTATTGAATGCCAGTATGCCTCAAGTTGAAAAGACTTAATTTAATGGGCAAGATATATTTAGAGATTTTGGTAAACGCAAGAGATATTGACTATGATGGACTCAGACGTAGCACATAATTATAAAATTTTTCATTCCATTTAATTCATTCTATTTTCTTTCCCATGCCCTTTCCTTTTCTAAAACAAAAAATCATTCTACCATATAATAGGCCATCTAATATTCAATATAAAAAGGAAAAAGCTTGCATACTCCAATGTTCTAGCCCTGAAAGCTTTCAAATAGAAAGAAAACGATATACAATAGTAGTGGTTTGACATTCTTTGGTTTATAGATTTAGAGAATTTTAATTTCAAAGTAGATTTTCCAAACCAACAAGCAACACACAACTGGTTATTTCCATGCATGAATAAGGACATTTTTGGGTCCTTTGACCATATCGTTGGCCATTTGGATGCCTTTTAACAACTCATACTCGTCACAAAATTTTACCGGATTAGTTCGCAAACGGATTACCATAGTTGCCCCATCGACTATAGGGGGAGTCTGAAAGACGAAGGTAAAGTTGCTTCAAGCGACCCAGCATTGCAGATCTCAAAATAATCAGTTGGTAATCAGACGGCAAGAATGCGATCCAGAGGTCATCGAAGTAGGACCATCTTCTTCATCGACTTTGAGATCGCTGAAAATTCACCGCATCCCGGGGCGATGTCTTCAACAAAATGCTGTGTAAACAGTTGTCCGGCAGCGCTAGTGGTTTGGCATTTTTTGGATGGACGGCTGTGATTTCTGATATAACTCTTTTTTCTTTTCCTTAATGTAGTGCTTTAGTGTTTTGGAGCTACTCATTTGTTGGAATGAATTATGGCAAGATTTCAAACTATAAATTGCGAGAAGTACGAAGTATTATTCAATTTATTTTTAGTTAGTATAAAGTAAAGAGTCAAAAAATTTAATAGTTAGGCATTAGTTGGCATGCAAAATTTGAATTTATTTTTGAATTCTTATTACGGTTAGATTAAAAATTTTTCTAGAATTGATTATAAAGCAAGTTTGTATTCTATTAGTTAAATTAATTTACTTTTTCATCAATTCTAATCAATTGGATTTGACTCCTCGTATTATTATTTTGTGATTCGTTATTTATTATTTGCGTATTAAAAGTTATTAATCAACAACTGTTTAATTAGTATTAAATATTAATATTAATATTAATTTAATAGATATTGGTATTACCTACTCTAACCTCGCAATCCTGACAAGTTGCAGTTGCATTGCATCATCCAATAAAAATCTTTTTTCTAATGTCCTTTAAAATTTTGATCATTCTAAGGGAGGATGATTCACGAAGTATGTATGTTCCATCATCTCCTAGGATGCTAAAACAGTTCGCCGCAAACCAAAGCTGATTTGGGAATTACCACGCAGAAGGAGAGTGCCACTTCCTGTACACGGTATGAAAGCCTCCTAAGCCTCCTCATAAAGCTTTTGTGGAACCCACTACGTTTATCTTTTAGCAGTTAGGAATGGTCGATCGGCTGAAGTTTCTTGCTGTTGCTGGTCGGTTTCAGCCACTCCTCTGCTACGAGAAGCCGACAGAATGACGAGAGAGATTGGCGCTTTTTTGCTAGCGACTGGCCAGACGGCTTGCCTTTGAAAGGGAGAATGCGTCGGCAGCTGCCTGATGTCTGATATCAACATTGGTGCCGTATACACAAAGATACACAAAACACATTGATTTTTACGAATACGGATCCTCTCCATTTCAAAGAACCATCAATCTTATGATTTCAACTATCCATTATATCATCAATGATCCAAATTTGTTTGTCAAATCAGTTCTGAATTTCAAATTTCAAACTTCTTAGTAAGTAAAGAATTCAAAATCTAGATTTTCTTTTGCAATACAAAATGCATACAGAATTCAATTCTGATTTTTAGCCTACTAAAATAAAATTAAATTTTTAGTAACTTGTTTGCCAAACGGCACATTAAAGGTCCCAAAACTAATATTCAGCATGGAAGGAATCAAGAAACAAGCTTCAAACGTAACAGATGTTCTAGCCTTAACAGCTTTCAGATCGAATGAAAACGCCATACAGTAGCAGTGGTTTGGCATTTTTTGGATTTATAGATTGAGACAATTTGAATTTTGAATTTGATTTTCCAAATATAAGAACCAACTCAAACAGGCCATCTTGAATCACTAGTTTCTACATCATGAGTAAGGACATATTTTGGGGTCCTTTGACCATATCGTTGGCCATTTCGACGCCTTTAACAACTATTACTCCTCACATATTAGGCAGAGAGAGGCAGGGTTTTGTGGTCCACCCGTCAACATTAATAAACGTGACAATCTCTTTCATCATTGGTCACCTAACGACTCTTTCCAAAATACTATCTCGAAGTCTATACTATGAATTGAACGTATTTGAACGTCTGATGTACCTTTTTGATATATTTTGCCTTTGCCGTCAAGAGAGTAAAAACAGGGAAAAGGTAACGGCATACTTTAAAGGAGGAGCAGACAACTAGAAACAGCTGAGTATTATTATTGGTAAGAGATGAAGGTGTGCAAGCCGAGAACAGCTCTCTATCAAAATATCGCTGCATAAGATCTAATTTACTTGTGGATCCTCTTTGGGTCGCAGCTCGAATCCCTCCACGATGAGTCCACCTTTCCAATGTGGATGGTTCCAACCCCAAAATCGCATCTCAACCTCGAGCTCATTCTCTTGGTCATTGAAAAATTCCCCAATTCAATCTCCAACCATCCATCTCTTCTCGTATGAGGCAGAAATACATTCCCTGGCAATTGTGCTGCTTCAGACGAGCTTAACTTCAAATAGGCTGTGTTGGGCTCAGTTTCAGCCCCATCATCCCACTTTCCCCAACAAATCTAACCAATCCCTTCATTGGAAAAGATTCGAGTCCATAGTTCCTCCTTGCAAGGTTGAATACCAGGTATGCTGCATAAATAGTCTTGGGTGACAATAACTGAGTCTTCACTCTGCCTGTGATTTCAAGCCAACAAACTCTCAGAAGGCTTGCCACCTCTGGGAATCTGCATAAAATCGACCTTTAGCTTTTGATTCACCACACATAAAAATGGTACTTCAAATCATGAAGGCGAGGGAAGGTGGAAGCCATCATGAAGGAACACAGAAGATTCCCATATGTAGAACATGAATGAGATTGTTTACGACATAAAAATGTGGTAGCATACCATAGACTTCTATAAAATATAATATTAGTATTAATACATATTTACAAAAGCAACATTATTTTGGTAGTAGAGTGAAATACTAAAATAAAACATTTCAAAATCATGCCCATTTTGTGCCGAAAGCTTCAACGGCCCCATATTTTGGCTCGCAACCGGGAAGAAAAATGCTAGTAAACGGATAAAAAAAGCATTGTGGAATCATTTGGACCACTTAATATGTTGGTTTAGATTCCACACTGTACCTGTCAATACATAAGTGCCTAAGAATGATAATAGAGATTTTTACAAGATTGGAGGAGGCAATTATGGAACCTACCTTGAGCGAGGTACGGACATCCATCTCCAGTATTGAGAAGTATCTCCCCATACAATTTGGAGATTCCGTGCTCCAAGCATCAAACATTTCTTTCCACTCTCCTTCTCCAGAACAAAGCTCTGATATTAAATAAGCAACTAAATAAATGAATATATTACAGAGACACAAGATTACAATTAAAAATGGCTCTGTAAATAAGTCGCTTCCTGTCATTTCAAAGAAAGGAAAGACCAAACACTTGACAAATTAGGCAATGATCAAGTAGAAGAGACACGAATGAAACCTCCTAGGTAATTCAGCACAATTTCCTCCATTTCCGCTAAAAACGCCCAATTTGAACTGAATAAATCCTAAATAGTGTACAAAAAAAAAATAAATAAAAGTAAAACTAAAATCAAACGGATTCAGGCTCAAAAAGAAGTGAAAATTGTTTTTTTTTAAATCTAACTTAAACCAAGCACTTGAAAACTCTACGTCGAGGGATTTTTAACCAAATCGTCCGGTTTGATTCAGTTGTCTAGTATCTCGATTTATTAACAAACAGCTTTGTTCTGACTTTGTGAAACGATCAAAAAAGTAATTCAACTGGATGAACTCCAATTTACAGAAAATCAGAACACATCAGCCGGGAAAAAAAGTTCTTAGAACATATTGTCGAACAGGACAAAAATTTACAGGAGCAGTTTGCGAACGGATTACCAAATTTGCCCCATCAAGCAGGATAGGTGAGTCCGAAAGACGAAGGTAAAGTTGCTTCAAGCATGAGTAGACAACCGGCGTCGCAGATCGCAAAATAATCTGTTGGTAATCAGACGGCAAGAATACGCCCCAGACGTCATCGGAGTCGGCCAACATCTTGATCGGCTTTGACATCGTCGAACACCTACACGCATCCGGGGCGATGTCTTCGACAAAATGGTGTGTACACAGTTGTCCGGCAGCGACGTTAAGCCATCCATGCTTATCTCAGCACTACCTAGATGTCTTGCCGTTTATGTATGTATCGAGATATTCGCTAGTAGTTCACAGAGGAAGTGCAGGGATATTACTGCGTCGGGGTGAATGGACGGCTACGATTTCTGATATTACCCTTTTGTCTTTTTCTTAAGACCGAAGGTAATTGTTGGTAAACTTAGTGGCTAAGTGATACAAGTTTTGAATATTTATCAAAAATATCAGTTATAAATATTTAAAAAATTTTAAAATTTTCAACAGAATTTTTTTTTGTCTGAAATTTCTATAAATAACATTAATTTAAAATATTTAAAAAATTTTAGCTTGTTTGATAGGCATTTTTCATCAAAAATACTAATTTTCAATATTTAAAAAAATTTAACTTTATTGAAAAATTTTTTGACAAAAATTTCATCAAAAATATTAATTTGAAATATTTAAATTTTTGTTTTAGCTTTTTTGATGGACATTTTCTATTGAAAATTTCCATTAGAAATATTAGTTTAAAATATTTAAAAAGTTTTAGTTTTCTAACTGATTTTTTGACAAAAATTTCTATCAAAAAATTTAATTTTAAATATTTAAAAAATGTTTTAACGTTTCCAATGGATTTTTTGAAGGAAATTTTTGTCAGAAATATATATTTAGAAAGTTTTAGCTTTTCCAATGAAACTTTTTCGTCAAAATATTAATTTTAAATATTTAGAAAATTTTTAACTTTTCCAATTGATATTTTAGTGAAAATATTAATTTTAAATATTTAAAAAAATTTTACTTTTATAATGGACATTTTCTATTAGAAATTGCCGTTGAAAATATTAATTGAAATATTATTAAAATTTCATCTTTTCTGACTAACATTTTTTGTTGAAAATTTTTTAACATTAAAAAAATTTTGATGTTCATTTTCCAACAAATTGCTCCATTGGAAAATCTGTCAAAAACATTTTTTCCTTCGAATTTCCTTCTTTTCCGATGGTTATATGTCAAAAATGTTTTCTGACAGACTATTCGATGGAAAAATCATTGTAATTTTGCATCGAAAATTGAGTAATTTCTTGTTGTCACTTGATTGGGGTAGATAAACTTTTTCATTTTATGGATAGGCTTTCATTCTTGGGCTCGGGCAAAATTGAGGTGGTTGAGATTTAAGAATTTTCAAACTACAATTGTCGCCACTGATTATCTTATGGATTTAAAAAGATTGGGGAGACCATACAAGGTAAAGACAATTCAAAACTAAGCAAGAGAAAGTTTGCAAAGGGCAGCAATTAGAATAAGGGGGAGAAACCATCCTTGGTAAAAGATGAATTCGAAACTCCACTTCTTGTAAACAAATAGAACAAATGGTGTTACATGTGCAATGGTGCCTATACCACGTGATATTATGCAAAGCGTGGCAAGATCATGGTGATAGTAATTGAATCTTATGGTGAGTCTGAGGATGCTAGTATGCCTCAAGTGAATCCTTTTCAACCTTATGTAGAAGTTTTTGTGAATACAAGAGATATTGGTTATAGTGGACATAAGTGTAACACATAATTATAAAAATTTTCATTCCATTTAATCCATTCTAGTCTCTCTCCCATGCCCTTTCCTATTTTACAAAAATAAAAATAAAATTCATTCTACCATATAATAGGCCATCTAATATTCAATATAAAAAGAAAAAGCTCGTATACACCGATGTCCTAGCCATGACAGCTTTTCAAATGTAAAGAAATGCTATACAATAATCGTGGTTTGACATTCTTTGCTTTGTAGATTTAGAGAATTTTAATATTAAATTAGATTTTGCAAATACAATAACCAACTCATGGCAGGTTATCTTCAATTACTGGTTTCCACGGATGAATAAGGACGTTTTTGGGTCCTTTGACCATATCGTTGGCCATTTGGATGCCTTCTAACACCCCGTACTCATCACAAAATTTTACATGATCAGTTTGCGAACGGATTGCCATTCATGCCCCGTCAAGTATAGGGGGTGTCGAAAGGCAAAGGTAAAGTTGCTTCAATCAACCAGGCATTGCAGATCTCAAAATAATCAGTTAGTAATCAGATTGCAAAAGTGCGATCTAGAAGTCATTAGGTAGGCACACTTCTTCATCGACTTTGAGATCGCTGAAAATATACACGCATCCCGGGGCGATGTCTTCAACAAAATGCTGTGTATACAGTTGTCCGGCAGCGACGGTGGCTTGGCATTTTTTGGATGAACAGCTGTGATTTCTGATATGCCCTTTTTTTTTCTTTTCCTTAAGATAGTGTTTTCAGTGTATGGTGCTTCTCGTTTGCTAGAAATAAATTATGCAACATTTTAAATTATAAATTATGATAAGTATGAAGTATTATTCAATTTATTTTTAGCTATTTTAAGATAAAGAATTAGAAAATTTAATAATTAGACAATAGTTAGCGCGAGAAGATTCAAATTTATTTTTGAAATCTTATCACAACTAGATTGAGAATATTTTTGAAATTGATTGTAAAACACATTTTATTTCTATTAATTAATTTAATTGAGTTTTTCTTTTCAATACTCAATTGGTTATATTTAAATCTTCTAATTATTATTTTGTCATTCATTTTGCTCATTGCTTGCCTCCTAGACCAACTGATGAATTAGTATTAAATGCTGATATTGATATTAATTTAACAAATATTGAGCCTGCTTGATTTGACTTTGCAATCTTGACAAGTTGCAGTTGCATTGCATCATCTAATAAAAATACTTTTTCTAATGTCCTTTAAAATTTTGATCATTCTAAGGGAGGATGATTTACGAAGTATGTATGTTCCATCATCTTCTAGAAGTTAAAACAGTTCACCACAAAACCAAGGCTGATTTGGGGAATTGCCACAAAACCAAGGCTGAAGGAGAGTGCCACTTCCTGTACTCAGTATAAAAGCCTGCCAGCCTCCTCATAAAGCTTTGTGGAACACAGTACGTTTAACTTTTAGCTGTTAGGAAAGGTCAATTAGCTAAAGTTTCTTGCTACTGCTGGTCGGTTTCAGCCACTTCTCTGCTACAAAAAGCCGACAGAATGACGAGAGAGATTGGCATTTTTTTGCTAGTGACTGGCCAGACAGCTTGCCTTTGAAAGTGAGAATGCATCGGCAGTTGCCTAATGCCTGATATCACAATTGGTGCTGTATACACAAAGATATGCAAAACACATTGATTTTTATGAATACAAATCCTTTCCATTTCGAAGAACCATCTATCTGTCAATCTTATGATTTCAACTATCCATTATATCATAAATGATCCAAATTTGTTTGTCAAATCAGTTGTAAAGTTGAAATTTCAAACTTTTTAGTAAGCAAAGGATTCAAAATATAGATTTTCTTTTGCAATACAAAATGCATACAGAATTTAATTCTGATTTTTAGCCTACTAAAAATAACATTAAATTTTTAGCAACTTGTTTGCTAAACCGCACGTTAAAGGTCTCAAAACTAATATTCAGCACAGAAGGAATTAAGAAACAAGCTTCATACATAACAGATGTTCTAGTCTTGATAGCTTTCAGATCGAATGAACACGCCATACAGTAGTAGTGGTTTGGCATTTTTTGGATTTATAGATTGAGAAAATTTGAATTTTTGAAGTTGATTTTCCAAATATAAGAACCAACTCAAATAGGTCATGTTGAATCACTAGTTTCTACATTAGTAATAAGGACATATTTTGGGATCCTTTGACCAGATGATTGGCAATTTCAACGCCTTTAACAACTCATACTCCTCACATATTAGGCACAGATAGGCAGGGTTTAGTAGTCTACTCATCAACATTAATAAACATGACAATCTCTTTAATCGGTTGTCACTCAATGACTCTTTCCAAAACACTATCTTGAAGTCTATACTATGAAACTTAACATATTTGAATGTCTGACATACCTTTTCGATATATTTTGCCTTTGCCGTCAAGAGAGTAGCAAAAGGGAAGAGGTAACGACATACTTTAAAGGAGAAGCAGACAACTAAAAATAGCTGTGTATTATTATTGGCAAGAGATGTAGATGTGCTAGTCGAGAACAACTCTCTATCAAAATATTGATGCATAAGATCTAATTTACTTGGGGATCCTCTTTGGGTCAAAGCTCAACCTCCACGATGAGTCTAGATTTCCAATATGGATGGTCCCATGCCCAAAATCGCATCTCAACCTCCAACTGATTCTCTTGGTCATTGAAAATATCCCCCAAGTTTGACTGGCAAGGATTCTCAAATCCAAAAGATAAGGACTTGTTCAAACTCCATATCAACTGAGATTTGCATCCAATGGAGGTATTTGAATATAGGAGCATCTAACAGGCGAGATTTGGGTGGGATGATAGGGAGTTTGATTTAGATCACAGATTTGTATCTATCCATAAAGAGTTAATTAAGCCATGGGCCTAAATAGGGGAAGATGCTTAGGAGACCAAGTGATGAAAGTTGCAAGGTTTCAAAGCATCGTAATCATAGCATAGGAAAGTGAGTCTTTTGTGTTCCTTATATACTTTCTATCAAGTAAATAAAGTAGTAAGGTTGTGGCTTGGTCCTGTAAGGATTTGTGTTAAAGGGGTTCTTGTGCAACATTTGAGGCAACAGTCACTTAGTGCACACCCGCACTTAGGGTGGTCAAGGGAAACATGAGTATTAGTGACTGAGAGCAAGGCTTACAAGTCATCTCTGAGTGACTTGGCCAGTTACCTTAGGGCAAAAAAAGCTGATGATTTAGCTTCTGTACTAGCCACAGGGTAACAGAGTTGGTATCAAAGTCCACTTCCTCTACATCAAGCCAACAAGAGACACACAGTGGCTAATCCAATGTCTATCCTACAGGAGTAGATGAAGGAATTAGACATCTGATTAAGGCACACTAAGGCCAGACTTGGGCAACCACCTAAGGCAACCGTTCCAATCGTTTATCAACACCTTCAGGGGATGTCTCA